AAGCAAATCCACCGTGGCGCGAATGGCCACACTCGCCATTTGACCTGCAAGCAATGTGACAAGACTGTGATTTGTGGCCGTCGCCGCGAAGCTATCCAAATGTGGTCATACCTCGTGCAGGTGGCTTTGTGCACGAAGTTTGGCAGCAAGCTCAGATCGACTTTGATTTACCGGATCTGCTCCAGCGGACTCACAAAGATGCTGGAGGACAAAGACAAGCAGAAGGCTCTTGGCCATGTTGCGTCCCCTGGCACCCCTGGATGGAGTGTGATTCCATCTGAAGCTGACTCCAGTCAGTTAGGCCAACGTGGCTATCCAGATGTGCCACGACTTCCAGCTCGGAAGACAGCAACCATTGTGAGGTCGCCTGAGACCCAATGCTGGCTCTTTGGCGTGCTGCTCGCTCCAGGCGTCGACTTGCCGCCGTTTCCGGAGCTGAAGCCTGAGGATTTGGATGTTTTGCAGCCCTTGCCAGGTGACGACACTGTGATGCCTGAAGGACCATTTCGTGGCTACAAGTTTGTGGACATAGCCACCAACTTTGAGTCCGAGCCCTACTGCAAGCAAGTGATGCACATCGCACTCAACCTTGAGCCCATGTCACCACCTGTTTTTAGGCTTGCTTCGTACTTGTATGTTCGGTTGCAAATTGCCTGGCAAGCTGGTGTCAAGCTCAGTGGAACTGGTCAGGTCCTACCTGCTGGCAAACGTCCTTTCAGCCCTGAGGACATGTTGACAAGCCGGACCATCAAGGTTCCCCTGCAGCTGGATTACTATGATCCGAGCTCTCTCAAGGTTCATGAGTGCGAAGTGATGATGGTTGATGAAGACCTCAGCTATGAGGCCTATGCCGTGCAGCCTGCAGACCCACCTGGTCTTGCCATATACTGGACTCTGGGTGCAACCGCACCATGCACGGCGAAGAATGGGCCAAAGCCTATGAAGAGAAGCTCGCTGAACTTGGACTTCAACCTTCAATCCGAAACAAGACCCAGCTGTTCAAGGGGATTGGAGGACATGCTGAGTCCAAGGTCGTCAAGGCCTACCCTGTTGGACTTGGTGGAGTCAATGGCGAGCTCCACTCAGCAGAAACACCAGGAAAAACACCAATGCTGATTTCACGTCCTTTCATGCAAACCCTCGGCACAATCATCAACCTTGGCGAGGGGACAGTTTCTTTTTCAAAGCTCAACATCAGAGATCTTCCCTTGAAGAGAACCAGCCGTGGCCATTTAGCCATCTCTCTTTTGGACTTTGATTTGAACACTATGTCAGTTTTTGATGAGCTGGTCAAGGGATATGATGAGTTTGATGTCAATGCGGCAGAAACTGAGGCCTTGGATTTGGCTCCTGGATTTGAGCCGGCCTCTGAGGCTATTGGATTTCCTGCTCTTGGACTTGAGCAAGCCTCCGAGACCTTGGATTTGGCTCCTGGACTTGAGCCGGTCTCGCCGCCAAGTGATGCCCCCAGCCACGACGATGGACTTGATCCGGACACCAGGCGCGAGTCACAAGATGCCTGGGATGTCGTTTTTGGCATCGATGAAGCTGAGTTAGAAAGGGTCATGAATCAGCATCATGAAGGTTTTCACTGTGAGAGCGCAGATGCTTTTCTGGAAGAGGTTGAAAAGGGTTTCTTTTCAGTTCGAAAGCCCAGCAGCCGAAAAGCCAAAAAGATTGCTGCGATGGACACCGCACTTTGCGGGATGGATGCTTTGGTTTCCAATCAGCTCAGGATGCAGCAAGCCTCAAAGGCTGCCAGAAAGCCTCCAACCGGAAAAACATGGCTCAAACAAGTTTTTGCTGGACAGATGGGTTTGACCATTTTGGCAGTTTTCCATGGTATGGTTTTTGGTATCCCTCGCGACATCTCCTTGGACGGCTGGGACGCTTTGACTCCTGCTGGAAGGCGTCAGCTTCACCAAGACTTCCAACAGGAAGATCCCTTTTGCACTGTGCTGACGCAGCCGTGCGGTCCATGGGGAAATTGGTCGAGGTTCAACATCTCCAAGGGTGGCAGCGCTTCTGTCACCGTCCTTCAACTGCGAGAAGATGGTCGTCCCTTGCTGAAAGTTGTCAACAAGACCATCAAGGATAGACTCCGTGCCAACAGGCACATCTTCATGGAACAACCTCTGGGGTCACAAGTCCTTGATGAACCTGAAATGGCAGATGTTAGAAAGTTGGTTGAGGACGGCACTTTGCTGTTCATCGTGGTTGACGGCTGCATGGTTGGCTACAAAGATTCCGTCACCGGACTGCCCAACAAGAAGCCTTCCTTTTACATCACATCAATGTTGTGTGCTGAGAGCGTTTTTGCAACATGCCGATGTGATCATAGCCATGAACATCAACCACTTGAGGGCAACAATGAGTTTGGCCCCAGAACCACTCAAGCTGCAGCATGGCCTTCCGAGCTCAATCAGATGGTTTTGGATTGCATCATACAACAAGCCGCCATTGAGGAGCACCTCGCTGATGAGATCTATGCTGGTGATGCTCAGCGCCGTCCTGCGAGCGGTCTCTCTGAGAGATCTCCCAAGCGCCGCAGACAGGGTCGAATGGCAACGATCTCAAGTCCAGCTCCGCCAGTTTATGTGCGACCACAAGGAGCTGAAGCACCTCAACCAGTTGGCGAACTTGGTGATCTACCTCCAGATGATGACTCATCTTTTCGAGCTCAACAAGCTGCAGCACTGGACCCAATCCTCAACCAGACAGAAGCTGATCGCCGACATCAATGGCTTCAAGTGGATCCTGAGATTCGCAAGTTGCTCAGGACCTTGCATGTCAATTTTGGACATCCAACCTCAACAACAATGCAGAGAATCCTGCGACGTCAGGGGGCAAAGCCGGAAGTCGTCCGAGCCGCTGGACTTATGGCCTGTGACGCTTGCGGTGAATCGATCCGGCAGAAACGTCCCAAGCCTGTGAGAATGCCATCGGCCTATGTGTTCAACCAGCACATCCTTGCCGACACCTTCTATGCCAAGAACAGCCAAGGCAAAAGTTTAGCCTTCCTCAACATCCTTTGCGATGCAACTGGGTTTCAAGTGGTTTCTTGCCTTGGAGAACTGACTGGGACGCCATCATCTGGCATTGTGCTCCGTCACTTTTTGACTTCATGGTCATCTTGGGCTGGACTTCCCCATTCTCTCCAAGTTGACCGTGGCAAGGAGTACATGGCTCAGTTCTCAGACTACCTGAAGCAGTATGGTGTCGAGCAGCAAGTGATTCCTCTTGAATCACCTTGGCAGAATGGAAAGTGCGAACGTGCTGGTGGCCTTTGGAAAGAAGTCTGGGCCAAGACAGTTGTTGATGTTGATGTTTCAACACTTGCAGATGCAATCACTGCTGCGTCAATTGTGACGCAAACCAGAAATGCCTTTCCACGCACCAATGGGTACTCGCCCAACCAGTGGGTACTTGGCCATCCCGAGACCCGCTTTCCAGGCAGCCTTCTCAGTTCAGATGAGAGCCAACAACTTGAAGTTCTCGAAGCAGCTGAAAACCCCCACAGTGAAATGGCAAAGACTTTGGCCGTTCGTGAAGCTGCTCGAGTGGCTCAAATTCGTTTGGATTCAGATAGCCGTGTGAGGCGAGCACTGTTGAGAAAGAGTACACCAACACGTGGACCTTTTCCTATTGGATCCTACGTGTACTTTTACAGGCGCCAGCCTCAGCAACGGCAACAAGATGGCCGACCTTACAACTGGTATGGACCTGCGAGAGTCATTGGACTCGAACTTCGCAACCCACGCCGCACTGAAGACGGCGATCCAGCCACTGATGGCTCAGCCCCAAGCAGCTATTGGCTCCGCTATGGCCCCAGCGTGATTTTGGCCTCTGGTGAACAATTGAGGTTTGCAAGTGAAGATGAGCTTTTGGCAGCTCACTATGTGCCCCACTACGCCGTGGAGCAGGGAAGCGACCGTGGAGCCCGCAACTATGTTGACATCCGCAACCAGCTTCAACAACCAATGCTTCAGCCGCAGGGGGGTGGTGTCAACGCTGATTTTTGGCGCACTTTTCCAGATGGACGAGTTGTTCGGGTCCACAACGTTCCCAGAAAAGCACTTTATGTTCCTGATGCTTGCCCAGTCCCAGATGGACGAGTTGTTCGGGTCCACAACGTTCCCAGAAAAGCACTTTATGTTCCTGATGCTTGCCCAGTCCCACTTGACCAACTCCAAGATGAACGAGTGACTGAGGCCATTTATGAGGCTGAGATGCGTGATCACGTCCTCACGGACACCATCACCGACAACTGGCGTCAAGACCTTGGACGCGAACTTGTGGCCAAATGGGTTGGCGAAACAATTTTCAGGACAACACCAACTCCAGCCTTGGCAAGTTCCTCAGCTCGGCCTGCATCAGGACAATTTGTGTCCCAACCTGCAATGCCTGCGATTCCTGAAGAACGACCAACAGCCTTCGATGATCCGCCTCCAGATGCAGAGCAAGAGATAAGGACGGGCGATGTGCCTTTGCAACAACAGCAGCAGCAGCAGCAAAGCCATGCTGGCCATATGAGACAGGTGGCCGAGCAAGAACCTGATCCTGGTCCGCAGACCCCAAGGGATCAACAACCTCCTCAACAACCTGCTCCTGTTGCTCCCTTCATTGCTCAGCTTCACCAAGCGATGCGGAATCCACAACGACTTGATGGGCATCCTAGTGGAAGCTACGGACTACCTCGAACAGCACCAGAACCAAGCTATGGTCCTCAAGGTGGAGGTGCCAGAGTTTTCACTGGGCCTTATCTTGGAGAAGCTGTCCAAGAGAATGATTGGCCTGCTGGATGCGAAGATCTATCTGACCGACTTGCTCATCGACGTCTGGCTGATGCGTCAGAGCACACTAACGATTCCATGTCTGATGACTCCACATGCTACGAGGAGAATCCCAAGCTTGAAGCGTTCCTGACTGGCAAGGCAGTTCGGTCCGAGATCGACCTCAACGACCTTTCAGTAGAAGACCGTGCCAAGTTTGACCAGTCCATGGAGAAGGAGTGGAACTCTTTCAAGAAGTTTAGCGCTGTGGAGATCCTCTCAGAAAGCCAGATCGCAGCTCTTCCTCAAGACGCTGAGATTGTGAACACGCGATGGGTTCACACTGACAAGAACCAGAAGCCGCGCTTGATGGCTGGTGCAATGCGGCGACGCACTGGGAAGTCTGAAGCTCAGATCAAGAAGGAGTACCCCTTCGAAGCCAAATCCAGAATGGTTGTCATTGGCTGCCAGGAGAAGGACACTGGCATCAGATCTGACTCTCCCACTGCATCACTCCTGGCCTTCAATTTTGTGACTTGTTTGTCAGTTATTTTTCAGTGGATTTTGGAAGCGTATGATGCGAGCACAGCATATCTCCAATCTCAAGGAATAACACGTCTCCTGCTTCTCCGTCCTCCTCGACCACCACCTCCTGGAGTTCCCCCACATGACTTGCTGCGTGCGAAAGGCAGCATTTACGGCACGCGAGATGCTGGCCGTAGCTGGTGGAAGAAACTTTTCAAAGCTCTCCAGCGACTTGGCTGGGTGATGTCAAAATTGGAAGCTGCACTGTTTTACCTTTTTGACTCTGAAGTTTTGGTCGGTGCGCTCGTAGCCCACGTGGATGACCTTTATTCCACTGGCACCGGAAAGAAGTATGAAGAGTCCCTGAAAGTTTTGGAGAAAGAGATTTATTTGAAGAGGAAAGTTGGTGATTTTCGTTTTTGTGGAAAGAATGTGAAACAAAACCAAGATGGATCTGTTTCTTTGGACCAGATCGACGCAATTGAGAGTTTGGAATATATGGTTTTGCAGAAGAACAGGCGCGTCATGCCGAATGCGCCGTTGAATGAGGATGAGAAGTCAGCCTTCAGAGGGCTGATTGGTTCACTTGGATGGATTGCCCGTCAGACCAGACCTGACGTGCTTGTGAACGTTTCCCTGGCATCCCAAACAATGGGAAATCCGACGATCAAGGATGTCGTGGAGCTTAACAAGGTTGTCAAGGTTCTAAAGGAGAGCTATGACTTCAAGTGGAACTTTGTCCCAAGCTCCAACCTCACTCTGGAGAATGCCGTGGTGTTTTGCATGGCTGACAGCAGTTTCGCAAACACGACCAAGCTGCGAAGCCAATGTGGCTATGTGGTTGGTCTGACCACTGCTGATTTCACCTCCGGCTATGACACGCCGGTGATGATACTGGAGGCTTACAGCGGAAGCATCAAGCGTGTTTGTCGCAGCACTTTGGCTGCAGAAACAAACGGGTTCCTCACCGCGACCGAGGCCGCCGACTATGTGAGGATGCTCTTGCTGGAAGTGAAGCATCCAGGCGTTTCCATGGTTGACTTGGATAGGTTTTACCTGAAGGGCCTGCTGATCGCGTTGACGGACGCGAAGTCCTTGGAAGCCACCTTGAACAAGGATGCTGGCCAGCCTGCTGATAAGCGAGTGAAAATACTTGTCAGCCAGGTGAAAGAGTTTCTTGGCGGCGACAGCTATGAAGATGATGGTTCATTACGCTGCCATTGGTGTGACACATCGCAGATGCTAGCCGACGTTTTGACGAAAGCTGGATGTGAAAGAGAACCTCTTTTGGATGCGATGACCACTGGAAAATGGCGCCTGAAACCAAGCGCCGAAGCCGAAGAAACCAAACAGAAGATCCGAGATGGAAGGAGACGCAGAAAAGCTGAAAAGCAAAACGCTGCTGCAGGTGAGGACGGGTGTGAAACTGCATGTGAAACAGCAGTGACATAGCATTCCACCTTTGCAGCGTTCAGTCTTGCAGACATTCCATGCGCATCCCAGAGCGCTCTTTTGCCCAAAGAAAAAGGTGCCTCACTTCCCGCACGCCGCTGCCGGGATTTTGATCAAATGTCATCAATCCATCCATGGATTCTAATACTATAGTAACTATAGGCAGACTATTGGTATACACACATATATATATATATCTACCAAAAACCCAACAGTGATTGGAGTTCTGTTTGCCAACTTACAGTCATGAAATCCCATGTGAAATCCCACCGTCCCATTTCAAGCTCCAGCGCAGCCCCACTTTTAGCCGAACTCCGATTGGCCATGGCACCACCCCCAGGCATCTCGAACCTGGTATGGTCCTTCACAACCCTGGCCTTCAGGGAGGCCGTCCTGCTCGAAGCAGTTGCCCTGAGGCACGCCAGCGGATGCGTCCCGCCATGGTGCTAGAAAAATGCCTATATTATGGCGTATATTCCAAAAATTGGCTAGCGCTTATTAAATCATGTATGTTAAAACAACCCCCCAAAAAAAAACATACGAAAACCGTCCATACATGATTATAAATGAGAGATGTTCCGTTGCCATCCGTTGCCATGTTTGATAAAGGAAAGTAGGTGTGTCTGAAAAAGGTGGTATACTTCCAAAATTGGCAATCTTAAGGAATTTATAATTAAATCCGAAAAGTGGGGTGTCCAATGTTCAGACAAACCCAGAGTCAGAGCATTAGTATAGCTGTTATTGTCTCATCATGGAACGTATACTCAGGCTTCAGGGAAAGCACTAACCTGAGTAAACTCGTCCCAGACCTTTTGAACTGTGTACCCTCTGGTAATTTAACATAGCTATGGAAAGATCCACCATGCTATTAATGGGAAAATCCACTATAAATGGCTATGTTAAATTACCAGAGGGTATTTTGGTGGGGGAAATGATGCTGGTTTCCCCCTGGCCTGATCCCACGCTGAAAGGTGCGTTGCCGTCTCCATGCGTGGCTTCAACTCGCAGGGGTGGGGGAACCATGGGGAACCTTTCAGTTGAACAAAGCTGAAAAATAAGGTGATCTTCTTATTGGACAATTGATGAAAATTGTCATTTGTTGGGGTGTTAGGTTTTTTGTTGCCTTTGGGTTGGTGAAATGATCCTATTTTGTCCTGAAAATATGGTTATTTTCGCCAGGCAGATTCTGAACACAAGGAGGCTTTTGTTTAAATATATAGTTTTTTCATGTTTTTTCCATAGATTTTACATCATTCATTGATGTTTGAATAGGATTGTCATCAACTCCCCAAAACTAAACCAAACATTAGTTCTTCACCATATAATCACTAACGCCTAGCGAACACCTATTTCATAAACTCACTAACCTATCTTACCGAAACACCATTTCTAATCTCTACTAACTTCCCTTATTCTTCTCCAGAAACCCTCATTATAATTACCAAAGCCCCATTCTCACTCCTCAAGCTAACCTCCGCTCCACCCCCATACCTTACCCTCCTATCCCCATTAATATCCCATGTTTTCTCCAGTCAACTCAAACCTAATCACCCAACGCCCCTCCAAACAAAACCGCTATCTCCAAACCTCTAATCTGCGGTTCCTAGGAAACATTGATAAGCCAAGGAAAAAAAAACACAACGACCAAAAAAGCAAATCCTTTCTAACCCCAACCAAAGCATAACTACCAATACTTGCTAAACACCTACTTTTATCCCACTGCCCCACTCCCCCGACCACCAACCCCGCAACGCCCAAACCAACAAGCAAACACAACTGTTACCCTCCCTACATATTCACCCCCACTCCGTTAAATATTGTCATTTTCACCAATAAGCCCTCCTAATATTCAAAAACTCCACCTATACACCAAAAAATCAATATTAAAAACCTTCAAAACAAACAAACACAAAAAAAACTCCCAACTCCCCATAGATTTTCCATGTATGCTAGCATCCCGTGACATCTTAAGGAGTTGTTGTTGCCCTGGATCCCCCGTGGCCTGCGAGGCCATGTCAGATTGCCAAGAGCTTCAGATATTGGTATGGATCAATACCTATAAATACCATTTTTAGGGGAATGAACATCCATGTACCAGCTATTTTGATGTTCACCAGGGGTACAAGGTTTTGACACACTGCCATATGGGGATTTCTCACAATGGTTTATGGATCCCCACTGCAAAACTAGTCATCCATGACTTCGATGATTTGGCAATTTGGGGCCCCCATGACGTCAAGCGGATTGCCAACCGTTCCGATGGCCGAGGATTGCCAACTTATGCCGGGTTCTCGGGATGCCAGCCGTGCTGAAGCCTGAAGCCGCCTTTTTGTTGTTTGCGATTTGGGCAGAGCTACAAGGTGCCCCCCCCTGCAGTATAATTTGGTTATGGTTGGTTTATAAACCTCATTAATAAACGATTATAGTTATAAAATATAACATCTCCTGGAGATGGCGATGGAGAGTGAGAGATAGTATGTTATATCCCTATAATAAACTACCCGGCGGAAGGGAAACCGCGCGAGCGTTTTGATTGTTTGTTTCCAGGAGAGTCAGAATCACCTGTAATTTACAGTATAAAATGCTGTTCCGAACTCGTTTGATAATTGAATTTTGGTCAAAAAAAGTGGATGCAAAATCTATTGAATTTTGAGAATTCCCTGCGAATACCACGTGCATCCGATGTGGATTCGACGAGTTTTTTACACACCCATCGTCGGCTCAGCGATCCTTCAGTTTGGAAGCTGTCTTTGACAGCAATTTGCCATTATGGCATTCATAACGCCACTGCCAGCAACGCAGGTATAGCATGACATCTTTGTTCTGCCCTGCCTTTGTCTGCAAATTGCTAGGCACAAATTGTTTAGCCAAATTCCACAGAGAGTCTATCTTCCCTGTGTGCACTTTCAGTACACCCAGCCTGCCACGACGCGCACGTTTCACCCACACGCCTTTGCTGTGGTTGCAAGAGAAGTGCTGGAAGTGATGCTTTTTGCACCAGGGAGCCTAAGTGTCCGAAGTTCGTGGGGCAGGAAGTCAAGAGAGACAAGGCCACCAATCCGGCAACCACATCTCTGATTTTTGTGGAGGATTGTTTAGTTTGAACTATATCCATTTCGAAGATAATGATCTGCAATGCGAGCTTTTGTTTGTTATCCCAAAAAGTGCGTATCTAGAATCATGAGAGAAAAAAGTAATGGGCAAACATGAAAAGAATTATATATATAAATATTTCGTTCCATCCTGGAGTCCACCTCGTTGAAAGGCTTGTCAAAACAGGCCGAGAAGCATAGGCTGGACAACCATCACTGATGACCACGGAATTCCTTGAAATATCTTTGGCGGCACCGCATGCTTCCAGTTTGGTCACACTTTCAGTCGGCGGCTTGCCGAAGTTCTTGGCCGCCACATTGCCAAAAGCGTACATGTTGATTCGTCGAGACTCACGACAAGTCACTCCGAGAATCTGCTGGTAGTAGTTGGTTGTCGAATTTGCTGGTCTCCATTTTTTTATGGAAGTCCCATCGATCTCCAAGTGACCAGACAAAGTTCGAGATGCCTGGCTCTTCTCAGCGCAGCTGGCTTCCGCCACCAGAAAAGCACGCACCAATCGCCGCAAACAAGTCTGCCTCTGACTGGCATAGCCGAAGCGGGCGCCCAGCTCGGACAAACTTGGCGGCTTTGAACTCTCGAACCAAGCTTGGGCAACCAACAGCACATGGTACAGCGGCATTCGAAGAACCGGTAAGAGGGAAAAGCTCAGAACATCTTTCCAGCCTGGCAAGGAGCATATTTGTAAGACAACAGACTCTCCTCACGAGTGTAGTTTCAGAAGTCTTGCGCGATTATCGAGAGGAACATGTTATGCATGTTATACATGTTATACATCTTATGGTCAGTAACTGTCTATTTACGTGTAACACGATTCGTACAGTGAAGCTCTGCTTGGTTTCTTCACACCATGGTGTGTATGAGACAAACAAAAAAGTCTCAAAAAACATGACGAAGCAAATTCCGAAGCACTGCCACAGGCGTAGCAACGCAGCCACAAGCGACCACGACCGCGCTGCTGCCCGGTTTGACTTTCTGAATCCAGCCACTCGAAACCAAAGTATTGTAAGCTGCATATGTCTTCTTGGCGTTGAAGTGCGGTTGGTTCTGAATGGCCTTCATAGGACGAGTCCTTCTCATGGAGTCTGATGCAGCATGTTTTGTCTTTGACGACTCCTGACGCTTTTTCTTCGATGGACCGACTTTGGACGTTTGGTTCCAGGTTCTTCTGCCACTTGCTCGTTTGAGAGTTCTTTTCTTTTTAGTCTCCACAGACGCCAGGCGTAGCTGTTTGCCAGCAGCCACGTGCTCTTGTAAAGACTTCAGGCTGTGAGAGGCCAGTGATTTCAAAACTTTTTGAGCCAGCGTCGGGCACGTTGTGGCGTAGTGACCATCCTTGCCACAGTGCTGGCAACGCGGATGCGTTTTCGTGCCTCTGACCATTTGAGCCGACTTCATACGAGAAAAGAAAGTCAGCCAGGTTCAACTAGCCGAACAAAAACACACGTGAGATTCAGAAGCATCTTGTTATCGACTGCAACTGGAGTCTCAAGTACCATGATCATGGTGAGCAAACAGTGTGCAACTTGCTAATTGAAAGAAACCACCCCGCAGCACATGAAGCATGTTTTCTCCGAATGACATGGCAGGACATGACATCAGCTTGTGTGCTACATTACAAAGTATTTGAATGACAAAGACTGACATTTTCGAGTTCGCTTTCCACAAACCATGACGACACAAGTCAGCTGGTGAAGTCCCAGCAAATCCCAAGAACCGTCATTTTTTCTATTGTGCCACCAGCGCAGTCAGTGTCACTCTCTGGCGTCGGCTACAGCGTCGCCACCACGACGCAGAGACTGCTTCAGGGATGAATATTCATCCTGTAGAGGACGAGGCAAATGGGAAAACAGAGACATTGGAAACGGATGCGAAAACCAACAGGCTTTGGATCGAAACCAGCTGCTGCAGCGAAGGAGAAGCTGTCCTGGTCTAACCTGCCCATTTCTATTGAGGTGCGGTTGAAGGCTCAAACTGGGACAATCACGGCATCCGCCCCACTTGAACCGTTCTTGGCCTGCATGAAAGACAGGCACTGCCTGCGCAGTGAACTCCGCAATCATCTGACGTCTGCCTTGTTCCCGCTCTTCAAACAGACGGCCCCGCGCAGACGGAGTCAAAGATGACTTCGGCACGGACGAGGTCGCCTCCGGCGAAGATGGTATCTCTGGAACTTCATGTCTCGGATCCACCCACAGTTCTCTGTGGTACCACTTCTTGAACCGTTTGTGCGGTGGAGATTCATCACCACGCAACGGACTGATTTCACCGCAATCGGTGCTCTGTTCAAAAAACCTGGCTTCTGTGCTTGCGGAGATGCTCACAGGTGACGGAGGACAAGGCTCGTTCTCAGTCACCGCATGCACTGATTGCGATTCATTCTCGGCTTCCTTCTTTGCTTCATCTTCTAAAGCCCTGTTGACCTCATGTTCTGTCCAGTCACGCAAGGCAGGAATGGCCTGAAAAGACCAATAAAATTTCTCAGGCGTCACAACATACTGCTGTGAAGCAGAAAAGCGACGCTCAAACACCATTGCTGCCCCTAGGACTGCAGGAGGTAAGACATGACGACGCTTCCAGGAATGCCATATGTCAGTCAACACAGACAAACAATTTGGCAAGCGGCCCCAAGGCAAGCGAGAACGAGCATCATCTAACAATAACTCCACAATCCACGTCTCCGTCGTGACATCCAGAAGAATTTTCAGCGTGTCGTCCAGAGACACCAGACCTTCTTCAAAGAATGGCTTCAAAATTTCATGGTTTTTGAAAAGGTGTTGTTCACCATCCGAAGCAGGATGATCAAACAGAGGCAACGACATACCGCAGTACGGTGTTCAGTAGAAACCATGAGAACAATGCAAATTATGAACGTGACAACAAAACCGCATATGGAAAGTACAAACAGCTGCGGAGCAGTCATGCACAGGTATGACATCTGCAAACGAACTGACAGCTCCATGTGAAAATCAGAACAACCATGCAGTCCAAACATGATGCAGCTTGGTCTTTTCTGAGTTCCCCCCCGGGACTGAGCGCTCCGACCTCAAACGACCCGACATACAAGAAGATGAAAAGCAAGCTGCAATTTGCAAACTGACGCCAGACCCTTTCCAGTTTAAGGATCGTCTTTTATGTTGCCAAGAAAATAGACATTGCAGAACATTCTCAGACCTAACAATACATTATCAAAAGTTTTTATGTATACTTAGATACGCATACTACGACTTAGCGTTTCACAAAGGAACCAAAATTTCACTCACGTTTGCCGCCAAATTGTTTTCTTGCACTGAACAAACTTCAGTATCCCTAGAAATACATCATAGTGATTAGTCAATAGAAGATTCCCCAACTTACTGTAACTATTATAATCACGAATATGTCAGAACCCAACTAATGCATGCCAGGTCCCTGAGTCTCGAACCTGCAGCACAGAGAATGAGCAACCCAAGAAGACATAATTCACATATATACTATCATCAAAATGTTAATATATAAACGGCCGGAAAACCTATGCATCACTACCGCACCCAAACCCATACGCAGCGTAGCAACCATGTAACGTAGTACAACATGTAACATAGTAAAAGATCCCAGAGATCTTAGCAACGTAGCAACATGTAACGTAGTGAAAGATCCCAGAGATCTCAGCAGCGTAGCAACATGTAACGTAGTACAACATGTAACGTAGTAAAAGATCCCAGAGATCTTAGCAACGTAGCAACATGTAACGTAGTAAAAGATCCCAGAGATCTCAGCAGCGTAGCAACATGTAACGTAGTACAACATGTAACATAGTAAAAGATCCCAGAGATCTTAGCAACAAAGCAACATGTAACGTAGTAAAAGATCCCAGAGATCTTAGCAACAAAGCAACATGTAACATAGTAAAAGATCCCAGAGATCTTAGCAACAAAGCAACATGTAACGTAGTAAAAGATCCCAGAGATCTCAGCAGCGTAGCAACATGTAACGTAGTACAACATGTAACATAGTAAAAGATCCCAGAGATCTTAGCAACAAAGCAACATGTAACGTAGTAAAAGATCCCAGAGATCTCAGCAGCGTAGCAACATGTAACGTAGTACAACATGTAACATAGTAAAAGATCCCAGAGATCTTAGCAACAAAGCAACATGTAACGTAGTAAAAGATCCCAGAGATCTCAGCAGCGTAGCAACATGTAACGTAGTACAACATGATCCCAGAGATCTTAGCAGCGTAGCAACATGTAACGTAGTACAACATGTAACATAGTAAAAGATCCCAGAGATCTTAGCAACGTAGCAACATGAACGTAGAAAAGATCCAGAGATTCAGCAGCGTAGCAACATGTAACGTAGTAAAGATCCCAGAGATCTTAGCAACGTAGCAACATGTAACGTAGTAAAAGATCCCAGAGATCTTAGCAACGTAGCAACATGTAACGTAGTAAAAGATCCCAGAGATCTCAGCAGCGTAGCAACATGTAACGTCGTACAAGATCCCAGAGATCTCAGCAGCGTAGCAACATGTAACGTAGTAAAAGATCCCAGAAATCTTAGCAACATGGCAATATATAATGCACGAAGTACAAGGAACGTTAACATGCCCCCCCACCCCACCCCACCCCACCCCATCAGCAGCGTAGCAGGAACGTTAACATGCCCCCCCACCCCACCCCACCCCACCCCACCCCAAGCAGCAATACGCAAAAAAGTAGCAAAACGCACGTACGGTTTTCCTGCCGTAGGCATAAACTATACTTAACATACTGTATCTTAACATTACTTATCCAAATCATGAGCCCAACTTTGCTATAGGGATCCCTACCTTGCACCTGGGCTGGTGTCCAGGTTGAGCCTTTGCGAAGCTGGACTTTGAGGATGAGCGTGGGCCTTGGGAAAGCAGCGACAGCTTACGTGGATGGTGGGGTACCTGGAAACAAAGATTTCAACACCTTCCAGGAATTGGAAGTTTGGAAGGTGAAACAATTGTGTTTTGCCTTGCTTTTTTTTCCCAGGTATTTTCAGTTTTTTTTTCGCAATTCTGCTGTTTGGAAATTGCATCGATTTTCTGCTTCAGTGAACAAAGGGGGTCCTTTGTTCAAAGGCAGTTCGTCAATGCCATTGCACAGCAGGCGGTCCACCAGGCGCGCAGCGGAAAAAAACGATATGGCAGGATTAGATTCCCCCAGAACAATATTATACATATACACATTAATATATACATATTATAAATATATACTATATACATATAAATTATCTATATGGCAATTATATATATATATATACAATTGTACGCACATGTATGCACACACGCACGTGTATGATTATACGTATGTAATATACAGGCGTTCCTACAAAATTGGCAATTTGGCAATTTTTGGTCAAAGAGTGTCTATCAATCAATTGGGGCGACAAACAAATTACCTCCACTAGGGGTACGGTATACATCATGGATGCGCCCTAGACATGACAGCATTTTCCGTTTCTCATAATGCTATACGGATATTATAAAGTTATTAATCGAAGAGAAAACTGCAAATTCATTATGGATACTGTACTTTATTCTCCACAAGATTCAAGAATTGATTATTTAATAATTATTTACAGTAATTTATATCCAAATGATTACCGTCTGGTAAACTAACATAGCTATGGAAAATCACCATTTTTAATGGGAAAATCCACTATTTCTATGGCCATTTTCAATAGCTATGTTAAATTACCAGAGGGTAATTATTGCAATGATTCATTACGGATTGCTATGGATCCTCCACAAGGTCACCAAGCCAAAAATTGGGTGGAAACTGGGAGCTGCTTGTCCTAGGGGATGCTTTCTTCATGGCAACCTTTCGACCAGCAGATTCAGCAGATTCGGGGATTTTTTCGCTGTGCCAAGGTAGGGATTAAGAACATGATTTGTATTAACTTGTATGCATGTTACCCTCTGGTAATTTAACATAGCTATTGAAAATGGTGATTTATAGTGGATTTTCCCATTAAAAATTGTGATTCTCCATAGTTATGTTAGTTTACCAGAGGGTAAATTGAAGACATTTTCAGCAAATGATTGGGTGATCTTTGAATTGGACCGCCCTAGCTTTAAGACAACTTTCTAGCCGCGACTCAGGTGGCTGCGTGCCGCGGGCAGGAGACGGGTGGTTCGTTAGTTGTGAGGGAAGCAACATCCCGTCATGGGGTCCACCCAAGAAAACGGCAGGCGCTCAATACCCTCTGGTAATTTAACATAGCTATGGGAAATCACCATTTCTAATGGGAAAATCCACTATAAATGGCCATTTTCAATAGCTATGTTAAATTACCAGAGGGTAAAACTTTATGATAACCTTCGGTTTGTTTAAAGCGATTGTTTTTTTTTCCAATTTGAAATCTATGATTTTGGGGAATCTAAGCCTAAGCGACTCATTTATCTAACTTTTATTGTTTGGGAGCTCCTTATGCAAATCTAAATGGCCCATTGGATTTTACGCTCAATCCAGGAGCTTTCGTCCATTGCCTGGAGATTTGCTACCTGGCAAGTGTACGATGCTCCATTGATGTCAGCTGTCTGGAACTGAGATGCAGAAGCGTAGCATAGGAACCTCCACAAAGATGGAAGATGATGGAAGAGTAAGATCCTATCAACTCAACAATAGTGCAATAAATATGTGCTTGGTGGTTTCAGACAATTGCCACTTTTATCCACTTTTCAATGATTCTTCTACTCCAACATACTTGGATGATTCTGGCCGCAGTGGCACTTCTTTAGAAACATCCATCTTTGTCATTTTTTGTCAGTTCTAGCATGTTAGCAAGCTAGTTTTAAAATGTTTTAAATCTTTATCGCTTCCATTCTGGGTCGATGCTAGTTGTCTTTCATATTTTGGGATGGGATGGGCTTTCTTTAACTGTCAGCAGCTGGGTAGAAGATCGTTTCAACCCGCAAGACATGACCGGATGCTGGGGATACCCTCCCAGTAACGTGGCAATGGAACATTTGAATGCAATTCATCAATTGAATCTTACAGATGTTACATTTCCAGTCATTTAACCGTTTAACCTATGGTCATAGCCATTGAAAATGGCCATTTATAGTGGATTTACTCATTGAACATGGTGATTTTCTATATACTATAGTTGTGTTAGTTTACCAGAGGGTAACCTATGGATGTTCATCAATTTCATCATATTTCATCCACGGATGAGTTTCCCAACCATAAACCTCGAGGCCTTCCATGGCTTTCCCCCAGGCCGTACCTTGCCTCCTGCAAGGTGGTGAAACGGACAGCAGCGGCGCCGCTCTCGTGCCAAGACATGGCCAACTTGTGCCGCTTGGATCCGCTTGGAACAATGGGTCGGGTCAGGGGGAAAGGAAACGTGGTGAAAACATGGGGAAAGTACGGTACATGGACAGTACAAGTGAGAAAATTATGTCAGGTTCCGATTTTGAGGATCGGCCCCAATGAAGTTTGGGAAGTCGGAGCCTTTGACCAAACGCCGAGGTTGGGCGTTTGCCAAACTGCAAGTTCGAGGTGCGACAAGTGGGGATAAAAAAAAAGCCAGCCACAGACCTCTACGATTCTACGATTCTGTAGGTGTTTGGCCTCTATAGTAAACCTTCAAATCAAGATACCCTCTGGTAAACATACAAAAAACTATGGACAATCACCATTTTTAATGGGAAAATCCACTATAAATCACCATTTTCAATAGCAAACTGTTAGTTTACCAGAGGGTAATCAAGCCCATCGGATCATCACGGCTCATTGCCATGACTTGTCTGGAAAATGACTGACTATTTCATGATATGTAATGTAATTAATTTCAGTAAGTGTAAGTCACGACATATTTATATGTCATACATGGTAAGTCATGATAAGCAATGTGACTCACTATAACACACATCCAATCTTGATGTTTTTCTTTGCTCTAACTCTCGAGGAGAGGAGCTGAGCAACATGGCCACAGCTGTGACTGAGAAGCTCCTGAGGCCATGTCATTGAAGTAAGCTAACCAATATGATGATATATCAGCAACCCCCAAACAGATAGAAGAGTTGGAAACTTGGAAATATATGGAAATATGAGGTAATTACCATCTATCCCATCCTGGCGTGTTTCCATCTTTTTGGGGATTAATATGATGTATTGGTGCATCCAATGGTGCAGATTGGTGTGGCCAATCTATCCCACCACTGGGGGCCCACTGCGTTGGATTTCTGATGATTTCTGAGTCACAAAACCAATCTCTGGGCCAGGTTCAATACCCAGGAACTGGCCAGCATTGCCTAGGCCGGGTTTTTTTGCCGGTCGGAGAAACCTGGTCACCAGAAGAAATGCTTGCTTCAAAGGTACACGGTGGTGCCCCTCAGCCTTAAGTTGCTTTCTAAGCCATAGTAACTATACGCAGTCATATAGCTACCAGAATTCCTAGTGATTGGAGTTATAAACATTATAAACCAAGTTAGCTAATGGCACCACCTGGTACCATAATTGGTTGGTCAGTATGTTTGGTTCCCCTACATTTCCAGATATGTGACAACGAAGATTTAAGCGATGGTCGTTTCACCATCTCCACGGCAAGGTGGTTCTCCCGAGTTACACGAGTTATAAGTTGGTCTAAAAACCACGTTAACATTCATTAACCATAGGTTTCATCTACCATAAACATGCCATAAAACCCTAGTGATGTTAGTTACAAAGCAACTTAGCCGAAAAAAATCAACTCTTATGAACTGCAACTCCCCATTTTTGTTGGTTGAATGGGATCATTTCATGTCATTTCCGCTTCCTGGCTGACCTGGGGCTTTAGCCGCCAGGCTTTTGCACAGCTCCATGAGGCACCGCAACTCATACAGGAAGTTGCTGTGATTTCGAGGCAACGAGTTAAGGCCTGGCCTTTTTTTGTTGCAGCTGTTTCCCCTGGCAGGATTGAAGCGTCTAAAATGGGGATATTATCCGATGGGAATTAAATGGGGATATACTGGAGATAGGACATGTCAACTAATCATTGGTGATTTCAAGTATTTGTTGAAGTTTCAACCACATTTCCAACCATTTTGAAATGGGATGGTGAGGCTCAATGACAGGCATATTTTGAAGATGGGTTGAAGCCACCGAGCCGTGAAGCCGTACCGGCCGTACCCTCCGGAAATCGAACATGGCTTGATGGAGAACCCCCCCATTTTACCATTAGAACCTCCACTTGAGATTCTTAGCCACGGAGCAGATGACACCGGAGGGTCCGGATGGGTCCGGAGGGGCATTGCCTCATTTCCATATCTGAAGTGCCATGATGTGCCATGCCCCGCGTCAGGATGGAGAAACCTTCAGCGCTCAGAGCATGCCAGGGTCTTGGTGAGGCACGGGTGGCCTCCAAGATCTCCCAAAAACGAAGGGTTTCACCGGCAAAAGTCCGGGCTGAACTGTTTTGGCACCTTGTATCCCTTGGTTTCTTGGCTGTAATCCCCTATTATCCCCTAGTTTATCTTCACTCATTTGGGAAAAGTGTGAAAAAATCTGTGACGTCCGCTGAGCTAAGCGTCAAAGCACAGCTTCTTTTGGGGGGTGTATTACACAACGAGCGTGTCTGAAAATGGGGGATTCTCCTGATGTTAAACTACTGGATTCTGGGGCATGCACCTTCAGACCAACCCAAATGTCATGTCGGCTTCGATTTTTTCTCCCTGAAGAGCCTGTCCTTCATCAGCAGGACTAGCTAAAGCAGATAGATACTTGTACTTTCATGTATTTTCCAAGTGGGCACGAGGACCAAAGAAAGCCAGCAGCTTGCAGGCCATTTCGATTTGCTCACATGCACAACTTAGGAGCAATATGTGCCAGATTTTGGCTCAAACTTGCCATGTCAACATTCGAAAATCAACCAAGAAAACAACAAAGGACTGCCCGATGCCTGCACCTCACCAACTGCTTGGGTTATTATTCCAAAAGTGACAGCTCCACCAAAGAGGAGGACTCTCTTTTGGACCCAGCATTCAACCATTTTTGCTGGTCCCCCAAGCCCAGCCCAAACGTGTTTGGTTGAAGACTCCACTGGATTAGACACGATGGGCGGCACTTGTGGCTGCTTCAGCTTTCTAGTGGAGGAGCCCGTTTTTTTTTCATCGGCATGATGCGGTAAAGATGGTCAAATTGGTCCAATCTGGAAGCATCTGGAAGCGCAGGTGATCCAACTAGATTGATATTAGTTTGATCCAAGTTGATCCAAGGGACCTTTTTTTCCTCGAGATGGCAACTGGATTTTTCCCATGGAATTCATCTTTGATGATTTGCCCGGGGAGCCTTTGATACCATGAGCGGCTCGTAGCATGAACCGATTGGATCATGATCAAAGTCTCCGGTTGGAAGCACCAATCTGAAGATCGATAGAGCGTTTATACCTACACAGCCATCCCAAAAAGATAGAACACCGAAGTATCACGGGTTTACGACATTTTACGACATGGTTTACTTTTCTATCTTTTTGGGGTAAGTATAGTTCATACTTGGTTGAAATGGCCCTGGCACCCAAACTGACTGGCTGGGCCCCCATCAGCCACCTGCCACCTGATGACAGGATGCCCCCAAGGCATTGAAAGCGGTGGAAGGCACTGGCGCAGCGCCAAAACCAGTGCCTTCGCAAGCGCCAGCACAAGAGGCGCAACGCGGCGCGCAATGCATGGTTTTGTTGAGGGACTCGGATGCCCACAGACCATTAATTACATTTGTTTCCAAAAACTGATGCTAGTAATACACATGTGCGGTCTGATCTTGTTTTTCAGTTTTTTTTGGCATCGGTAACTATCGAACAGCCGAGCAACAACCAGATCAACCAGTACAATTATTATAATATAATTTAATTGATTCACATCAGTTCACCATTTCTCAGTCATGATTTTCTCACGAATTTTGCCAGGAAAATAGGTACTTGAAGGCTCATATGGGTTAATAACTAGATAGGTTATATACTAAGCAGTTAGCTATTGACATGAAATCACCGTTTTTCTCATCAAATGAAGTTCCCGAGTCGTTCACCATTTCGATTCACTGTTGCTGGGTCGAGGCTCCCGAAGTGAAGGAAGCACCAGGCTCCACCGGGGCCTGTGAAGCAGCCGGAGTAATATTTGGGAAGCCCAGGGCCCAGTGGTATGTCACCCTCCTGTAAACGTTTACAGTCCATAGATGTGGAAAAGCCATGAAAAGCCATGAAAAGCCACCAAAACTCTGGGTTTTCCGCATCTATGTTTCAAGTAGCTACAACTTGGAGATTTTTTCAAGTGGGATGATGATCATTGAAACTTCTGCTTCCAACGGACTCTGAAAAGAACCCGATCCAGACGGCCCCGGCTGCCCGGCTTCACAGGCCCTGCGGATGTTGCACAGTGGCAGGTGGGGAAGCAAGGCTCGGGGCCATGATCCACCCGGGATTTCGATCAGATTCTTCTTGAAATTTGGCAAGACTTTTCCCGCCAAAAAGTAAAGAGCCCATCCTATCAAAATCTATATCAAAATCTATATCATCCTCAACATGGAACAAATCTACAAACATCTTTCACATTCTCTAACCATCTCTACTCTCCGGTAATTTAACATAGCTATTGAAAATTGCCCATTTAGAAGTGATTTACCCATTGAAATGGTGGTTTTCCATGGTTTTTTGTATATTTACCAAAGAGGGTAACCCAGATTTCCCCCCAAAACCCGATCCCAGAGTCATTCTGCCAGCAGGCGTGAGCGACATTTCTCCTTCGTCGGACCAGCGCTTGCTGTTGCGAGCGCCGGAGTCGGGCATGTCGAAGGATGCCACGGTGCCTGCAGATGGAGCAGAGGCGGGATGAAATGTGGTGAGGGGTAGGTTGTTGATGGTAAGAGAATTATGTATATATACATATAAGTAATACTACGTATATACTTATATATATAATTCTTTACTATGATGATATATATATATAATTATAGCTACAGTAAAAAAGAGTAGTATCAGTATATCTGACTATCTTACCAACATTCTAAGCTACAGTAAATTACATAGTATCAGTATATCTCACTATCTTACCAACATTCGATTCGTTTAATAATTATAGTCATAATATCGTTGACACAAAATGTCATAACATGGGATATGGGTAGATATACTTTGGTTGCTGCAAAGGACTATCTTTTTGCGGGGGTACCTTCATGATGAAAAATCTTCATATGCATATGTATAAAGTATAACATCATGACAAGTGAAAGGATCTCCACAATGAAGGCATTGCAAATATGGTGTCAGTATTTCCTAAATCCTAATTTCCAATTCGCGGCAACACCAACAACACCAGTACCACCAGCACCACCAGTCAGCATCAGCATCAGCATCAACAAGACTACCCTCTGGTAAACTAACATAACTATGGAAAATCACCATTTTCAATGGGTAAATCCACTATAAATGGCAATTTTCAATAGCTACGTTAAATTACCAGAGGGTAACACCAACACTAAGAACTTCATCAGAAGCTTAAGACCATCACTGCCATGATAGCTTTGACATGTTGATTACTTGCTTCAGTAGCTGCCACCTTGCAGCAATCATCATAAAAGGTTGCTAGAAAGTGAGTTTCCCTCGGCGGCCATGTCTCAGGTTACACCCCATCACATCACCATGAGATCCCCTGGTGTTTAATGGTAAGAGAATTACAGTACTATAGTTACTATAGTATTATTTAGTCATAGTCATATATAGTAATATAGCCAATGGCAGCCATCCGGCAATAGTAATAGTCACGATTATCAATAACAACAGCATCACCATTGCCATATTGTAATATAGTAATATAATATAGTAATATAGTCACATATCAATAGTGGAGCCTATGACCAACGTTGATAGAGTTTTTTTTTTAAATTGCCATTGAATGTTTTGCCAGGAGATGGGGAGATTTTTTGCTGGCATTGTTTGTCATAGATGAGTCATAATCATAATCTTATCACATCAATGGCCATTTCAGGATCCTAGATTGGAGGTACCTACCATATGTAAGGCCTATGTAAGGCCTATGTAAGGGAATATCCCCAGAAAATATGGCCTTATATGGTACAGTACCTCCATTTTAGGATCCTGAAATTCCCATTGATCACAGCTGAATGTTATATCATAGCAGTACCTATGCATATATCTGCTTGCTGCAGGCATCCATCAAATGAAGTCTCCAAAAATAATCCCAAACTCATAAAACCCACCCTAGAGCATCCCCCGGGGCCACTTTCAAAATTGTCAAACAACAGCTACTTCTCAAGCCCTTCCTAGAGAACCTACTGTGGGTGGTTGCGAAATCCTGCACCAAAGGGATGGTTGAAACCCTATAGTGGGATGTTTACCACCTATCAACTGGTCATGGATTTCTTCCATTTTCTTCCATCCTCCGTATCAGTGAAGCCCCCCATGGAGGTAACTCTGAACCTGGAAATCTTCGAGCTCTCCGCTGCCGCGCCTGCGCAGCGTTTTTCGGCCCGCGGCCTGCGCGCGCAGGCGGGCAGTGGCCACGTGCAGCTGCCGGAGGAACTCGAGAAACCTGGCAGGTGGTGGTTTTTTGCTGGTGCTGCAGCGATTTTTGTTGCGGAAAAGCGGGAACATCATCCAAAATAAATGATATAAACGGGGAAATATCAAACATAATGGGGATAGTTCATGCCTGATAACCTGCAAACATTGGATGAGATTGGGATGTAACATCCATAAATTGGGCTAGTAACAAGAGTAAAGTTATATAATAATGAATAATGGTAAGAATATCGGTATAAATTGGATTAAATGAGCATAAGCATGGTAATGTGATGAACCAATACTATAAACCTACCATTTGGAGATAGTTTATACAACCCATAAAACTGGTGATTTTGGGGATAAGTTCATTATTGGGTTTGCCACATTCACAATCTCCATGAGTTGGATTAAATTGGGATATGTTTTTTTTTTTTTTAAGGATTATTTGTTGACAGATTGGATGTTTCTTTTTTTTTCTTGGGTCGGTTAGTATTAGTAAGCCCCAAGAAAGATAGAAAAGTATAGAAAAGTGGGAGACCTGGAAATATGAAGTAACCATCTTTTATAACATCCTGGAAACAATTGTCTATCTTTTTTTTTGGGGGGGGGTGCTATGTAACCATAGCAACGCCTCCATATCCTCCATAAATTGGGAGATAACCTCTCCAACTATGTTTTGGATGATTTTCGGACGATTTCTTGGATACTTGTTCCTGGCCCGCTTCGGAGTTCCAGGCCACTCAAGATGGTTTTGGCGCCTGAGGCTGATCATTCCGTGTGTGAAACCCGGGGGCGTCTTCCTGGCTCACAGTCGCTTGACAGATCACAACTAGGAGCCTCCAAGAAAACATTGTTTTAGAATGTTCTAGGTTTTATTTTTATCAGTAAGACTTTAAGATGTCACCCTGCTCCACAGTGTGGTATATATATATAGTACAGTTAAGCGACCAGAAAGCGCCAAGGACTGCCAAAAGTATGTGCAAACAGTGGATCTTCCCTTGCGATATGTACCACAAGAAGGCTGACACAGGGAAAGTGAAAGAAACGTTTGAAAACGTGTTGATGCATGCTAGATCCATGCTAATTAGATTATATAAACATTATTAAAAACTATAAATCAATTGGCACCCTGCTGTCCTTCAGCTTCTGTTGAGCTCCTTGCAGAGGATAAAAGAGAGAGAGAGAGAGAGAAATGACGCCTGAAAATGGCTCATCAACGGCATGTTTGGTGGAGCCAGCGCCCTCTTAGGTAAGAAGTTTGGAGAGTTCGGCCCGCTCCCTGAGACGGGCATGTGGCAATCTTTGTCGACTTGTTACTTGGATCGCACTCGGGCTACGAAGTCTCTTTGTACTCGTAGCGGCTCGTCTCCGGTTGCATGTTGCTACTTTGATGTACTTTGTATGCCCGATCCAAGATGATCCAAGAATCACAGGAACTTACAACTTTCACATTTTGAAGGTTAGATGACCACCTCGATGACCACCTCAAGGAATCGTTGTAATTATAGAGTTATCGAATCTTTAATAACCCTGGCACGTCCTGGCACATTGGCCAGTTGGCACCAGCCAGGTGTGGACAAGGAGGTTTTGATGAAAGTGGAACTGTTGGAAGCCCAAGATCTCTGTCTGGCCACCCTGGAGGGCCACGAGCGCTTGGAGTATGCCAAAGGCACCTGGAGAGTTGCGGCTTTCCAATTTGGGGAGGGCGATGGGGCAGGGCTTCAGATAAAGGCTACCCTATAGGCATATAGCTAGGTTGAACGGTTGACTTAACATCATGACAAGGCATGGATCATCTAGCCGCTAGCCTTGACTTTAGACTTAAAACCACATGAATCTACAGGCAGTGCAAGGATGTCAGCATTTGTTGTAAGTCACATCTCCAAGTCACTGAAATTTTACTAGTGACATGTGCTGGCGCTGTTGGGCGTTGATGTTGGTAATGCATGGGTGAAGTGCGAAAGAATTTGAGACAATGCAAAACCAGCTGGCTCATGGCGCGGTATTCCTAGTTTTGGTAGTGAAATTCCAGGGTATTGTAAGCCCAAGATGAATACTCTTGGTTGGAGGTACATATTTTCCGAGTAACTCATTCACGCAATCGAGTTTTCTTAGGGTGGAGTTGAAATTATCCATCTCTTTGACCCTTGTGTTGTCTAACATCCACACATTTGCTGTCTCATACATCGCGACTTTTTGACCCCATGATTCGCCAACGAAATGCATCCAGAATCATCCAGAATCCACTAATATTTATCAACCAATACTTGGTGTTCAATCTCCATGTTGCCTGATTCGTTGCGGATTTCAATTGCTAAAATGGATGTATCTTCTACCATGTCTTGGAAGTTCGCCTCAGGAAGCACTCCACGATTCAATCATACCGCAGAGGCCGCAAAGACGCCGCGGCCGGCTACTTCAAACGTGGCAAGTACGAGGCGGCACTTGAGCGACTCGGCCATGGAGCCAAGATGTTGAGATCCCCAGGTGATTGGAACCCACATGATTCGGTGGAACTATTTGGTATTTTCTGGTGGACAAGTTGACACCCCTAAGTTTTAGGGCCAAGAAATGGTATGAAATGGTTGACAAAAAGACTGGATTCCTGTAAATATTGTAAATCTTCCATGTTATGAATCTGGTTTGGGAAGGTTTTGGAAGTGAACGCCCTGTACGTGTAGGTGTAAGTGAATAAGTGAGCAGGATGAATGTGGAGCGAATGTCGGTTTGTGTTAGCGTGAATTCACCTAACATTGCCCAGCATGGTGTTGGGCAATGAGCCATAGAGGCGGAATTTATGATTCATGGGGACATGGCCAATACATGGATGATTTCCTCAAATACTTACTGGTGCTAAACGTAGCGAATTTTTGGGAATGATCCATAATCACTAGTAATAATAATCCCAGCAACCCCCAGCAATCCATCCATTCCCTACGTAAAACGCACCAGTAAGAATAGCAGCAAATCAATCAACACAACTCAGGAGATACAGCTTGGCTGCTGAGATGCTCCAGGATCGTGCTGATATCAAGGCGCCGGGCCGCAAGGATCGTTCAGAAACCACAGGTGAGAGGGGCCAGAAGTTGGAATGGATTTAGTTGTGGTGCCAAGGTGATGGCTATGTTTGAAAGCTTGAATTATCTTGCATTGATCATTTCAATCAGTTCTCTTGCTAGAGATCCTCAATCCAGCATGCAACAGTGGATAAGGGGCTACCCGGCTACCTGTAGCTTTAGGGGGTGGCCAGAACCAAAATCCTAGGTGATGGCTGGCCGGGGGCTTCGCTTCTCCCATCAGGATACCTCCTTGTACTCGCAAGCGAAAGAGGTGAGATCTGCCTGTGAGTTGAATGCGGTCGGGTCCTGAGGGGGACTCGGGCAGGAGCAAGGAATATCATGTATGAAATAGTGCAGATGCTAAAGCCAAAATTAATCCAGACATCTCCAGACCTTTCCTGCCTGACAGGGCAGGCATTCTGCCAGATGATAATTGTGCAATGGTAATTTCGAGCTTCAATCCCAACAGGTGGTTCCTTCGCAAAGTATCTTCTGAAACCACTCCCGCCTCACCTCACACAATGTCAGGCCGCATGTTTGCTGAAGCTTGAGAAGTGGAGAGACGTTGAGGCTTTTCTGCCCTGTAGAGTTCGCATTGGGAACCCCACGATGAGAAAGTTACATAGAATATGTAGAATGATATTCCGTGGTAAACCCAAAAGAATAAACCGTCCCCAATATTGCCATAAATGGATATAAATGGGTGGTAAACTTTACCCTCGGTAAGTTTATGATTGCGTTTTCCCCATGGTTTGCACATTAAAACAGTCTTCCAGGCCCCGTTTGTCAAGGGGTTTAGCCTTCCGAACTTCTCCCAGCACCACATGGCTCCACTGTGTCATCCATGGTGCGGCCTGCAGGCTGTTTGCAATGCCATTCTCAGAACGAATCCAGTCAATGAGAAGGCTGTGGCGGCCACGAGCTGTGTCCACCTAATTCCAATGTGCGTGAAAGAACTGAGAAAATCACTACCAATCATGATACAAAGTATAGTTCATGGTGACTGCGATTATATGCGATTATTGCTTCATAGTGATTTGTTTCGATGATATTTGCACGATTTGTTTCCGCGGATCCTCGGTCTGGCAAATAGCCCACCTGAAATAATTCCAAAAAGGCCAGGCCGCGCCTTGGTTTTTGATCCCCAGTATCTCAACAAGATGGTGGTTCACAGTGGTTTGTTTATTACTCATCTATAGACTCATCTACACTCATCTCACATCATCAAGAATCAGCATCAAAAATCCAACAGCCTAACTACACCAACCACCGTCTTTCGCGATGTTCATCGCGGCACCGTGGCCACCGCGGCCAGGCCTTGTTCCGGCGCGGCAAGGCCCTGCTGGCACTGGGCCACGGGGACCGGGCGGAGAAGGACCTGAAGCAGGTGCTGGAGGCGATGGTGAGTTTCTTGTGTGTGTTTTTTTTTTTTTTTAAACATTGTTAGTTATTTAACATATAAACGGAATCATATATTATGATATGATATGTATATATATATATGTATGATTGTGTATGTGTGTGTGTGTTTAAAAAAAACACCCAGGTGATTTAAGAGTTGGCTATGGAAAATCACCATTGTTTATAGCTTAAGCATCATAAATCATCTAATGAAATGGGTAAGTTTCCATAGCTATGTTAAATGACCAGAGGGTAAATGAACAGAACATGCTGGGAAAAGCATTGTGACATACTGGTATGGTGACCTCCCCACAAAATAGAAAAGCACAGCATGAGGGTTTTTTGTCCGAAGAGAACGGCGGGCTTATTATAACCAGATGAGCGAACCTTGTCCGAGAAGGATGAAACTATCTATGAAATGGAGAACAGCTTCGTCGAACGCCCTAGGAAATGGGGAGCATCTTCCTACAGCTGGTAGGTTTGTGCAAGAAAGACTTGGGGAAAAAATGGAAATATCTTCCAGGACGGGTGGAATGACTATACATGACTATGCAAATCTATGCAATATACACCATCGAGCTATGGTTGCATCCATATTCCCAACTAGCAATGGGGAGACACAGAGCCACTATATAAGAGTTTTCCCATCACATGAAATCAAGTCACATGGGGGTAGTTAAGTGAGGTAAGACATGCAAACGTGGACCTGCTCCCAAGCTAGCTGTTTTTATCCAGGTGTTTCCCTGTCCTTAGAGATTCCCAACGCAGTTACTCAGGATACTGAGGATACTCTTCCAAGAATTTTTTATTATCCATAAAACACGGAAAACATATGAAAACATATTTATATATGTATATAATACATAAATTAAAAAATGGGAGAAGAGGGGCTTTGTCCAATTCAAAGGATGGTGCTTTGAAAGCCCAGGTACAACCAACTCCTGTTCCGGACACGCCCAGAAGGAAGACCTAGACCTAGACATTTCGTGCAACGGTTGGAATCTTTGCATCAAACCTTGGGGCTGTGTCAAGATGTGCCAAGTAGCATCAAATTTCATTCTGAGAAATTAGAGCCCAAAGCGAAGCACCATCAAATTTCATAAAAATTACAGATCTGCAGAAATCCAGGGTTTTTAAATGTTTTTAAACCTTTGACAAAGCCTATCTCTGGGACAAAAGTCAATCCAGGCGCCCCAGGGATGCCTGCAGGTGAATCCCAACAATACGGAGGCCCAAAAGCTCCTTCAGCAGGCCATGGTTTTTCGGGGGATCCTTTGGAAATTTCATGGTAAAAATCGGTAAGTTTTGCAGGGCAAAGCTGACAGCCAGCTGCTCGGAGATTTTAGGGGTGATTTGTTGATCTGGGATTCATGTCTTGGACTTCCAAGCATCAAAGTTGCTTGGATCCTTTGGCCCCCTTTTTGTGCCGGCTCAATGACTCAAGGCCAAGAAGGAGAGCAAAGGGACCCAACGTGAGAGGAACGTTTATGCCAAGATGCTACAAGCTGACTAACTCACGGCAGACTTGGGCAGGGGTCAAGATTTCAAACCCACTGGAAGATGACATGTGTTTTGCTTTTGGTATTCAACCCACCTAGTTTGGGCAACCAATTTTGACCCCGAATGACGACGATTTTTTTTCGGGACTGGATTCACATCCAAATCCCCTTACGCCATTGGCGTTGCCAATCAGGAAAGATGCCTTACAGGCTTGAAAGACATTGTAAAGTTGTCGCCGCGGCCCCCCCAAAAATGCCTTTGCGTGCAGAAACCCTGGTGGAAGCCAGTTCTTTCAGTTCGACGTACCTCTGGCACGTATCGACTGGACACTTATGGCCAAATGCCAGGTTTCAGCATTTTCAGCGTAAATGCGTCCAAGTAGGCTACGAACCAAGTATTAGTTCAGGAGTTCAGGACCCCATTAGTGACTAATTACCGGAGTGAATGGTATCATGGCATGGATGGGTCGCATCTTCATGGTGTGTAGAGCATGTAGAGCTGTTCCCGTGAAAGCATCGGCACGGCAGCATGTTTTTTTGTTTTGTCCTGGCTCAGCGGTTTTTGGGTACTGATCACAAAGATCAGAAAAGCGATGGGCAAGTCGGGTGGGGGTGGCGGTGGCCGCGCTGGTGGTGGTGGTGGCCGTGCAGTGTGTAGTGGCCGCGCAATGGGCGGTGCAAAAATGTCGAGCTCAAAGCCTGCCAGTTCAAATGCCATAAAGGCCTCCAGCTCAAAGCCTACCAGCGCACAGGCTGGAAGTGGGAACGGGTTGGGGTTGGATGAGACAGAAGCTGTGAAGAGCTTTGATGGCCTTGGTTTCTGCAGTGTTTTTTAACAGCGTCTGCTGCTGTAGTCTGTGCCTCATTTTTTGTTGAAGTCTGCTGAGTCGTCAGAACATATCAGAAGCCGCTGAGGTGCACCGTGCCAATCAATTGAACCCTTGCCATGCACTATTTCATCAGTCTCGGGGGCTATCAGCCTCCGCAGCCAAAGAAGCCGCCGCAGCAACGCAGTCAGCAAAGAAGGCAGCTGCCCAGCCCACCTCCCAGGATGAAACGCAAACACGCTGACATGGAATCGGATGAAATGTGAGGAAATATGATGAAATGTGTGGAGTTTAACGTGTAGCGTGTGGACTGATGTCGTTGTGCATGTACATGTCGAATATTGATCTAATCTAATCTCAACCTTTGCCACCTCAATCCGTTCCACGGCTATTCCACGGCTTTACGTGATTCTGTGCATCATTTGTGTATCAGTGGCAAGTGTGGGTATTTGAACTCTTGACCCAAGTGGCGCAGGACACCAATCGCGCGAATCAGCTGAATCCGTTCCATGAGGCCTTTTGGAAGTCCAGAAAAATTGAGCCTGGCAAAGTGGAGATGGTGTACCATGGCACCTCCAAAGAGAATGCGGATGCCATCCTGAAGAAGCTGAGATAAGCTGAGTTTGGTTTCAAAGATGTTTTGAAATTGCTTTGCGGGGGAAGATGCTCACTGATTTTCCATGATTTTCCATCCCTTGAAGATGGCATCATGAAGAATTTAGTTTTTCACTTCGCAAAGAGTGGGGCTGGAGAATCCCCAAACAAAATGGAGATTTATAGTGCTGGGAAAATCATCAAACTATATACAGTAAATGGTTCAGGTTTGCCACTGTGATGTTTGATGACACCAGTGAGTAATGATCATTTTTTTTCAGATGGGTGGCTAGCCACAGCACCCAGGAAGGGCTTCAACCCTTCCAAAGATGGACTACTCGGAAGCGGTGTCTATGTCACCACGGATCTCGGCCACTGGGTAGTGGCAGTGAAGGAGAGACGCTGACTGGCAGTTTCATTGGTTCACAGTTCCATCTTTCATGGTTAGAAAAAACATGGTATGCGAATGTATGCGATAGATTTTCCCTTAAATCTTCCCCCAAACATGGGTTTTAGACTGTGGTTGAAGTTCAACAACGTTAAGGATCGTTAAGGTTGGAAGTCCCGGCAAAAATACACACATTTGTTTGCGCAATTTCGAGCAGCATCACTGGGCTTCTTTTTATCCCATATCGTTCCAAAACACCAACCAGGAAAGGAGAAAGTGTGGTGCTTTCCATTACCATTGGAGTACAAGACGGAGGTTTGGTGTCCAACTTGAAGATTGCTATATAATTAATTATAACATAATTATTGTATGGAGGTTTCCAAAACTGGGGGATACTCAAGTCACCAGAGGTTTCAATACTAAAACAGACTCATTTTGGATGATTAGGGGTACACCTATTTAGCTGTGCCTTGTTGTAAGGAACCTAGGCCACCATTCGATCATTCGTGGGTCCTATCCTATTTTAGTGTATATGGATGTATTTTCGGTACAGGACACTAATGATCAACATCGGGTACCCAAAGTATTGGATGGTTGCTGCATCCGTAGATTCTGAAATTGTGTCCTTTTCTATCCGTATCACCAAGTGGGATCCCCGCCTTTTTGGTACAGTACCCCCATCTGCTGCATGGGAGCCGTCCGTAAAAGCAGGTCACAAATTTATGAATTGATGCGTTTACTTTGCTTTGCGCGATTGCTAAAACCTGCATCGCGATAGGCTGAGCGATTGGTTGGAGATTGGTTATACGGCTACCACCCTATTACTACTACTACTACTACCACTACTAGTACTACTACTAGTACTAGTACTACTACTACTACTACTGCTACTACTACTACTACTGTTACTACTAGTACTGCTAGTACTACTACTAGTACTACTAGTACTACTAGTACTACTAGTACTACTAGTACTACTAGTACTACTAGTACTACTAGTACTACTAGTACTACTAGTACTACTAGTACTACTAGTACTACTAGTACTACTAGTACTACTAGTACTAGTACTACTACTACGACGATTACTACGACTACTACGACTACTACGACTACTACGACTACTACGACTACTACGACTACTACGACTACGACTACGACTACGACGACGACTACTACTACTACTAGTACGAGTACGACTACTACTTCTACTACTTCTACTACTACTACTACTACTGATACTACTACTTTCGAGACCAGAACCATGCCAATAATTGACATGGCCGCGCGGATTCCGCGCGCGGAATCCGCGCAGATGTTTTCAGGTCAGAAGGACATTCAAGCTAGCTCCAATTGAAAACAGGTCAGAAACAGGTCAGAAACAGGTCAGAAACACCAAAAAGGCAGCACTTGCCTAGCATCCCATCCATCCATCCATCCATCCATCCATCCATCCATCTTCTATCTTATCATTGCTACTTCTACTATTACTATTACTACTATTACTACTTCTACTACTCCTCCTCCTCCTACTACTACTACTAGTAGCACTAGTACTAGTATTTGGGGCACTAGTAATGATATTACTTTGACGATCACTAAAATTGTTCCTAGTTTGACTGCCCGTGCTGATTTTTTTGAAGTTGAAGAAGACTCCGGGAAAGGTCAGAAACAGGTCAGAAACACAGAAACACCAAAAAGGCAGCACTTGCCTAGCATCCATCCATCCATCCATCCATCCATCCATCCATCCATCCATCCATCCATCCATCCATCCATCCATCCATCCACCTCAGCTCTTATCATTGCTACTTCTACTATTACTATTATTACTACTATTACTACTATTACTACTATTACTACTATTACTACTATTACTATTACTACTATTACTACTATTACTACTATTACTACTATTACTACTATTACTACTATTACTACTTCTCCTACTACTACTACTACTACTACTCGTACTACTTTTACTACTAGTACTGCTAGTACTACTACTACTACTACTGCTACTACTACTACTACTACTACTAGTAGCACTAGTACTAGTATTTGGGGCACTAATAATGATATTACTTTGACGATCACTAAAATTGTTCCTAGTTTGACTGCCCGTGCTGATTTTTTTGAAGCTGAAGAAGACTCCGAGAAAGGTCAGAAACAGGTCAGAAACAGGTCAGAAACACCAAAAAGGCAGCACTTGCCTAGCATCCCATCCATCCATCCATCCATCCATCCATCAGCTCTTATCATTGCTACTAATACTACTACTACTACTCCTGCTACTACTACTACTGCTACTACTACTGCTACTACTGCTACTACTACTACTACTCCTACTACTCTCTACTCCTACTCCTACTCCTACTTCTACTCCTACTCCTACTCCTACTCCAAACGCAACCTCTCTCTCTCTCTCCCTTGCCTATTCCCTCACCCTCCGACCAGAACTCCTACGCCTACTCCTATTCCAATTTCCACTACCACTACTGCTAGTGCTACTGCTACTGCTAGTGCACTGTGAGTTTTCCGGACCGTTTCCGGACCGCACAAGCTTATTTTGCTCCCAAATTTGAAATCGAATGCGTTCACGCATGGATCCTTACTCTCATTACTAGATTTGCTACTACCCCCAGCACTACCACCACACCCGCTGCTACTGCACCACCCTGCACCACCACTACCACCACTACCACTAGTACACCTAGGAATTTCTGCTCTTGCTTTTAAATCCAATTGCACTCGTGTGAAGGGTCAGAAACGAGTCAGAAACCAGTCAGAAACCAGTCAGAAACCCGTCAGAAACCGGCCAAACGCAATCTCTCTCTCTCTCTCCCTTGCCTATTCCCTCACCCTCCCATCAGAACTCCTACGCCTACTCCTATTGCAATTTCCACTACCACTACTGCTAGTGCTACTGCTACTGCTAGTCCTGCTGGTACTACTGTGAATTTTCCGGACCGTTTCCGGACCGCGCAAGCTTATTTTGCTTCCAAATTTGAAATCGAATGCGTTCACGCATGGATCCTTACTCCCACTACTAGATTTGCTACTACTCTTAGTACTACCACCACACCCGCTGCTACTGCACCACCACTACCACTAGTACACCTAGGAATTTCTGCTCTTGCTTTTAAATCCAATTGACACGAGTTCCGCTGAAAGGTCAGAAACGAGTCAGAAACCAGTCAGAAACCAGTCAGAAACCCGTCAGAAACGGGTCAAACGCAACCATCTGTTTCCCCCTCCCTCCCTCTCTCTCTCTCTTTCTCTCTTTCTCTCTTTCCCTCTTTCCCTCCCTCTCCCTTTCTTCCCTTGCCCTGCTACTAGAACTCCTTCTCCTATTCCTACTCCTACTCCTACTCTTACCCCTCCTACTACTACTACTACTACGACTACGACTACGACTACGACTACGACTACTACTACTACTACTACGACTACGACTACGACTACGACTACGACTACGACTACGACTACTACTAGTACTACTAGTACTACTAGTACTACTAGTACTACTAGTACTACTAGTACTACTAGTACTACTGTGAGTTTTCCGGACCGTTTCCGGAAAGCGCGAGCTTATTTTGTTTCCAAATTTGAAATCGAATGCGTTCACGCATGGATCCTCATTATATAATACATAACTTATATTTTATGTAAATGATCTGATCAACGAAGAACAAACCCTTCCGCGATTGCTCACTGTGGTACCGCGGTTGCTACGCGATTGGCTGAGCGATTGAGGGCTGTCCGGGAAAAGGTATTTTGGACAACCCCCGCATGTCATTGATTCTCTTCCCCGATCATCGCCGATCATCCCACTCTAAATTAGCTGGCTAGTAGACAAAAACCATGGACCATAGTCAACAGTCACAAGAATACATCGTACTCATAACTCGGTGAAACTTTCAATCATCAACAATTCATAAAAAGTTTCCATAAAGTTTCATATATATATATTCTGATTAAAAACATCTATATCTGACATTATCTGACCCCATCTTCGCCTCAGGCAAGGCTTCTGCCTTCGCCGGCAGCGACGGCCGCATCCTCCGCGCCGCGGCGAACCTGGGCTCGGTGCAGACGGTGGACGCGCGCAAGGCGCGGCAGGGCGGCTTCAGCGAAGTGGCGTGGCAGCGGAGCCATGATGCGGCCTATGTGCCGCAAGGCCTTTTTTTGGGATGTTGGCTGAAATGGGGGGATGTCATGGGAGATGTCATGGGAAATGGATATGGATATATTATGGATATATTATGGATTTGTCATGGTCTATAAAGTGATATCCATTGTGGGAGGACGCGGGGAGTTTACAAAACACATGCAACGTGGAATTTAAAGGATTAAGGAGGCGAAGAAGGTTTAGTCTTCAAAAAATAGTGACGGGGTAGATTTTGTTTGGAGGACTTTTCATCATTCGAAATGGGAGTTTATAGGATGTGGATGGATGTGGGGATATAATTGGATAGATATTATTGATATCAATGACATAACCAATTGTATCCTGGAAGCCATTCTAAAAGTATAAAATGGAATGCATAGGGTGAAGCAGACTTACTTCAACAAAATGATGATAGGCACGATAGGACAGATTTTGGGTTCTGATTTCTTAAAGTTTCAGATAATTAACAGAGCTTTTCAAAATATTTGGAATATTTCTCCATCCTGCAAATGCTGTGCAAGGGAACAATTGACTTTCATGTTTAAAGATGGATTGAAACCGCCAACCAGTAAGGGAAGAAATGTCGACATTGTTGGCCATCAAACTTGGTCTCACCAATTGTTCGGTAGCTTCAATGATGATTGAGATGTGATTTCATGTATTTCCGATCATGTTCTACCAGGTGCCCCCAGTTGTAAGTTGGTTTATAAAACTCGTTATCCCCATTGACTATAGTTATATCACCCATAAACAATCTATATATAGTTAACCTAATTCTAACATAATTATTCCAAGTTATAACCAAACTTAGCTGTCTAGGGGGGGCTCACGTTGAAAATGTCACACCCCGGGGAACATGTGAATTTTCCCACTTGACTTATGGCCCCCAGGCGAGGGAGTGGCTAGGCCTGAGCATTGCGTGAAGGACCCCACGCGAGTGGTGCCTTTGGGGGTGAAGAAATGAAGGGCCGGCGGAGCAAAACTCAGCGTCCTTATGAAAGTTGGTTGGGTGCATGATGTGCATGATGTGCATGATGTGCGTGATCTTGTATGACCGTGTATGATCTTGTACAATCTTATATGGATAATCGATCTTTATGTCTGAAAATCGGCCCAATTCCGAACAAATTACTGTATTTCGTTCATGTTTTGATTGCAGATATCATCTATTGTCTTGATGTTTGGAATGATTGTTGGGATGCCAGGGTTTTGAACCCAGCCGTGACTGAAGTTCTGAAGAGTCAGCTGGTGACATCACCTGCAACATCGCGGAAAACTGGACCCCGATGTTGCATGACGTGTCATCACGATGCCTTGAAGCATTTTAAACGTCTCTTCCTGGCGGGCCAATCCACGGATTTGGGCTGAGCCGAACCCCCACAGATGGGACCTGCTGTTGCCAACAGAATGCCAACCAGCAGGTGTTTTTAGGCTCGACATGGCACACAGATGCACAGAGTTTCAAAAAGTGGCTTCTGTTGCTTGTATTTTTGGGGCATTTCATGGGATTTGGACTTTCTTTTCACAGGGTGGACAGTGCAATGTTGGCAATGTAGTGTGGCGTTTTGACATGGTGTGTAATTCTTGGTTGAGATTATGGTTGGGTTAAACATGAGGTCCTGTCAGCCATCTGAGGAAAGGCACATGGCTGCCAGCGTGCAAATGGTTTATCTTGGTGGTTGTTTCTTGCTGCTTTCCAGGTTGCTTCTGTATGCTTCTGTCATATGTGCAGTGTAAATACTAGGTTTGGAATGGTTTGGATATATTTTTGTAATTCAGCGGGCCGCTTCTTGCAGTCTGCCACCTAGAAAGCTTGACATGACTGCTCTTTCCAAAAGCAATCTTACCAGATACACAGATTATGAAGGTGACCCCGAGGTAGTGATGATGCGCTGACCATAGTGGTGGCAATGGGAGAAAGTGACTTCACGGCCTCGGAAATCTCTCGACCGAAAAGCGTTGAAACTGGAGAAATGGATTTAACATGCACTGTGTATCCCTAGATGATATACTGTAATTGTCGTTTTCGATGGGGATGCTCCATTGACTACCCCAAACATCTCCACAGCCGCCTTCCATTTTGTCTACGCCGAGGTCCAACCTCTTATGGTCGCTGGGCAAAGTTCTGGTGAAGGAGGAGATCTTCATGGAACAGATGGCAGCCATGGCAATTCCTCAAATCGCCGAAGCACCCAGCACCCTCAGCCGGGTCCAAGGTGAGGGGGAACCCTGAGCCAGGCACGGGTCAAAATGTGGAGGAAGATCTTGAAGGCATGGATTATGAGCACCATCCCATCCTGTTTTTCCAGAGCCCATTTTCGGATGGCGTGCTGGTCCCAGGGTCCGGGGTCCCGGCCTCAGGCGGAATTCACACCACAAGCTCTAGCCAACAGGTGCCGCTCTGGGTGGTTCCAGCTTTCTTCGAAGGTCTCACCATGACCACATCATCTATCCCAGCAAAGCTGACATCAGATGAAACAGACAGCGGATGATAGCGGGGGCTTGTGTGGGGGTCGTTTTGCTAAATCATCCGTTTAGGAAGTCTCCTGAATTACTGGTACTCAACGACCCTGCTTAGTAAGTCTCCTGAATTCCCGAGACAGTCTCGTAAGTGGGATGACTACCCAGCCCAGTTGTCCAAGTTTCAAGGCGCATTTTCTGCAGGAAAGCAATGGCTTAAGCCCCTAGATTTTTCCTAAAAGCAATGGCTTAAGCAGCTTTTGTCTCGAAAACAAATAAAGCCCATTGAACCATCATTCTGATTGAATAAATTCAAATGCCTGGCTTACATCCAAATTTTACCGTGGAATTTTCCCCAACCGGTTAGTGGTTTCAGACATGTTTCATGTTCAACCATACTTGGGAATCTTATGGAATCTTGGAATGATGATCCCCAACAAGGCGATAACGAAAAAAATCCCAGAATTGGATGATGGGACAAATAGAATCAGGATTCCCCTGTAAGGACTGGGTTGAACAATGTGGAGCATATTTCTCATGCCAGCACATGCGCTTGGAGCAGGCCCCATCAATCATATATCGTTAATATTCCTCAATGATCTCATTAGTCACTAATCCACTGCATGGTCAAAACATGTCAAAACCACTATTTGGACGGTTTATTGTTGGGTTTACGTTCTTTTCCTCATTATGTCAGATTATGTCGATATTACCAGATTCACCAAAGGCCCAATGTTAACGTTTTTTTTCAGGGCCTGGTCCTCCACCACTCTGAGCGTTTCCAGCCCAGCAGTGCCTTGGGCTGGCGAGGGGTTGGTTCATGTGGCTCGGGGAGAGAAATGAGATATCTTGTAAGAACAGATCAATATGAATAGATTTAGCATGATTTGGCTGTAGAATGCTATAGATATGCTGATTAATTACTGGCAGTGACATACTGATATATGTATATATATATATATAATTCTATACATTTGTACTAGATATAGAATCTAGATATAAGGAGATAGATATAGGTCATGGCTACAATATCGTGAAATTGGAAATGATGGGAGTTGAAATTTGGATTATTGACAAATCGTCGCCCCGAAATCAGATGATTTGGCCCACTTGGCCATCCCCGTCGTGCAGGTCATGACAGCGACCGCCGCCGCTGCACTCCCGAAGCTGTCAGGATTGGAGCCGCTTCCGCTCTGGGATTTCGTTGCGGCTGAGCAAGACCACCTGCAGTTGTATCATTTTGATTCATTTTGTTGGATGTTCTGGGTGATTGTGAAGGGATTCAGTTTTTGACTGGTTTATACTGGTTTGCAAGTCTAGAATAATTGTTAATGTTAGCTGCATAATAGTAACCCCCCCCTAAGTAAAATAATTTTGGAGGAAAATCCAGGGGGGGGGTCAGCATTCCAATAGTAAAGTCTTGGAACCTTATGGCTGGGATGGAGGCAAAGGAGGAGGACGAGGAGGAGGAGGAGGAGAAGAAGGAGAAGAAGGAGAAGGAGAAGGAGAAGGAGAAGGAGGACAACAAAATTGGAGTTGCGGAAAAAAGTTTCCACTATTGCAATGCCTGGTGCAGGTTTGTTATTGCTATTCTGGGGCTTGCAAAGGGGGTACCCTTTGTGGACCTGTTTTCTTGCTTTTTTTAATAAGGGTTTTATAAGGAAATCAAAGCTTTTGCTAATCAAAAGTGAAGGCTGCTTTGAAAAGGATTTGCTTTACTTGACTCTTTTGGCAATACTAAAAGTAAATGGAGCTAATTGACTTTTAGTATTGGAGAAAAATTGGAGTTGGGAAAAAAGTTTCCACTATTGCCATGTTGGGTCCACTATTGGCCATGCCCTATGGACAAGGTCTGAACATGACTCTTGTGGCAATACTAAAAGTAAATAGAGCTAATTGACTTTTAGTATTGGAGAAAAATTGGAGTTGCGGAAAAATGTTTCTACTATTGACAAGAGATCACTATTGGCTGGACAACATTATCCCCAGCTCAAAATTATAACTTGATCGAAGTTGTTTTCTGGTTTGAGCACTGGGCACTCCACAAAGGTGGAACTCGACCGAATCTGCGGAGGAATCCGCCAAAATCCTCTGCCAGGATTCTCCTTCCAGGGTCTTTGCAACTTAGCGCCGGACGCCTGGGTTGCTGGGGGTTGGTCTCGTTCTGCAGTTCAGCTTAAGGGTAACCCAGAAATCTCCAGAAGGCTTGTGCCAGCCATGTCTGATGAAGATTCATTAGGTCCCAACTTGATCAACTCTGACGTTTCTGCAGGCTAGCAGCTAGCACCCCACCTGTGCCTAATTCACTTCTTGTGAAAGTTGCCAGCCCAAAGATACACAATCCCACTTCATCCCACTGCTTGGCCCTGATTTAACACGGCAAACGACATACACATCCAGATATACTCTATGTTTTCCATTCGGATAGCTTATTCAATTGGTGGAAACCATACCCAAGCAAGATGAGAAAGTGGCTGCTCACGATATTGTTGCTACATTCCAGATTGAAGAACGCATTCATTTTCCCACGAAAATTCCACTTGCTGGTGCATCCACATTAATCATGTTTAATCCCATTCCTCATTCATATTATATAAACCAACAGTAATCAAAGAGGGCACTAGAAAACCTCCATGTAAACACTGATTACTGGATGATTTATGGATCCATAAATCATTTATTTCCAGTAACATCATTAGAACATCCATCATTTATCGATGATTTTGCCACTCAAAGCTCCATTAGGTGGTCCTCTAGCACCCTAGCAGCTGACGGCCCACTCTGGGATGCGCTGTGGCCGCTTGGGTGCAGTTGTGGCGCCCCGCCAGTTGCAGGTTAACCCCTGTAAACGATGGATGGATGGATGGATGGATGGATGGATGGATGAATGGATAGATAGATAGATAGTATAAGATAGATAAGATAAATAGATAAGATAGATAAGATAAGAGAGATTAGATAAGATGTACAATAAGATAAGCTAAAATGTAATACAAGACAAGATAAGATGTAAGATAAGACAAGATAAAATGTAACATAAGAGAAGATAAGATGCAAGATAAGACAAGACAACATGTAAAATAAGAGAAGATGTAAGATAAGATAAGATAAGATGTAAGATAAGATATGGTAAGATAGAATGTAAGATAAGATAAGGTAAGATAAAATGTAAGATTAGATAAGATAAGACATAAAGGAAGAAAACAAGAAAGATCGATAGAGCGATGAATCGATGGATCGATAGAACGATCGTTCGATAGACCGATAGATAGATAGATCAGATCTACCGATAGATCGACAGATCAATATATCCACAACATCCATAAACCCTAGTTATTGGAGTTATAAACCAACTTAGCTAACCATGGGGCACCACCTTGTATAACTCAACCGAATCTGGATATGACCTCTATAGCTATGGTTCTATAAGTGCACCTCCGGTCAACAGCTTCCAATTTGAGCAGAAATATGTTGTAAATGCCATCGGGTGTGCCAAATTCATTCAACTATGCTTCGAAGGCGGGAACGAAAAGATCAAGGAATTCGACAACTGGGGGTGTCTTCTAGATCTTCTAGTTCTGTTGCCACTGTGCTTTTTTGCCACAGGGTAAAGCTACTGAAAGTGGGAAGGGTTGGAACCACGGCCATGTTGGTTTGCAGGATCCAAACTTGGGTATCTTGGGTCACGCCACGCCACCACTGGAAGTCCCGAGTCTTGGGCGTGGGGCACTTTTGGGGAAAACTTTTTGGACTCCACCATACTCCAAAAAAGGTGATAAATGAGAACATCACCGGCAGTAATATGGATATGAGTAAACCGAGTAAACCAATAAACCTGGATGGATCCTGAATATCCTTATGGTGATTTCAAATACTCTATGTTTCATGTTCAACATTTTTCAGCCATCTTATGACGATCCCCAATGATCACGATGTGACAAGTGGGTTCAAAACTTACATTACACAACATGATAGACCAATTGGGTCACTTTTGGTCCCCAGAACGACCAAATAAGCTCACAAATTTATGGTGTTTTCTCTCTTAGCGTTGGCTAAAACGTGGCTGATGGTTTTTGAAGAGATCTCCAAATCATGATTTTTTGTTTTCCCCGACTTTTCACTGAAATTATCTGATAATTGCGATAGTGGGTCCCATGTTGCTTCGCCGGGGCCATGTTGCATCGTAAATCGGCCGAGGAAGAGGCTTCAGGATATGGATCTGCAGGCGCCGTGGCTGTGATCCATGGGAAATCCCCGAGCCGCTCGGAGGTTTCGCTCGCTGGAGAAATCATTTTCCAGCACGCCATGTGCTTGATTTCCGGAGGGTTTATATGATTCTTATATAACTTATATGTATACTATTGTATTAAGATTCTTATATGTACTCGTATATTGTATAATTAATGTAACCTGCGACTGAAATATCATATGAAACATAGTCACAATGATATGCTACAAGCACCTAATTTGTATGTAAGAAGCACCTTAAAGCAGATGATAACATATGCGTACATGTTCGACTGTAAACATTTCCCAAGCAACTAGGCCTCAGGTATATATGAACAAAAGGATTGAGCACCATGATTGTGGAATGTTGTGAATATTTCCTACGCATTTGTTGTGCTTTTGATGGTTGATTCCCGCTTGATATTGCCACATATCACATGCATTCCCATCAGAATGGTGCGCTTCCTCAGTTTGGCCTATTTCAAATGTTTATTCCACGAGAATGAGATACAGACAGATAGATATAGATAAGAATAACAGAAGATGTTGTATAGATATATTGTATAGATATAGATGCAACATTTGTTCATGGTATCCTTGTTCATTGTTGTAAAAATATAAGTGAGGCTAATTTCAACAGACAAGCTACAGAATGAATCACACTGATAGCGGCAGATAGAGAATAGCAATCTGTAACATACATGCACTATAGTCACTACATGTCTCCCCAACACAAGTACCACGATATGA